CATGTCCCTGCACAAAAATTCAGGGATCAACAGGTTTAAGATGCAGTGTGGTGGATTGGAAAGAGTCTGCGGTACGAGTAAATAAATCTAGAATTTTTCTTTCCACCTGTTCCATTTGGTATAAGGTTATGAGCATAATAACTTTTGGAGTCAGATAGGCCTTCCTAGTCGCATTATATTGGTCAAGTTACTCGGCCACTCTGAACCTCAGATTCGCCATTTGTAGAATGGAATTCTGTAGACATATGGGAACATCTCCCTCCAGTTCTGAGTGAAAGCTCTGTCTAACTCTTCCCAGGAAGTGAAGCAGTTAGTTGGCCAGCTCCTTATTTATACTCCAAGAAGATGTCAACGATACCCACACACTTAGTGCAGAAGTTCACGGTTACATGTCTGAAGGTTCATCATGGGAACTTTCAGAGATCTTGGCAAATCTTCGGTTAAGCTAGGAATTTTCCGATGACCCACACAGAGATAACAGCAAAGGTACAGATAGCAGCTCACACTTAAAAAGTGACTTGACATTCTAACTTCACCTGGGAGGAGGTTAACGCATGAAAAACGTTCATTTGCTCAAGGTGGGCAATTGTTGATAACATTACTAAACCTCTCCTTTTCTTTTTTCTTTTTTTAGGTAGGGGATATTTTCCTCTCCTTCATTGTAATATTTGATGTATTCTTCAGGATTAAAGCAACGGCTATGTCCTAATGTTCATTCAGTTTTAGGATAACCACAAAGGTTTCATGAACGTGAAATGCTAGTTACACAAATATGAAATGGATCTGTGATGAGGATACTGGGCACATGATATAACAAAGTCCCAAAGGCATTTCACCTGGGACCTGAGCTTTCCTTCCAGAACATCAGCAAACAGTTCAAAATTAATGTAGCACACCATGCAATTTGCCATATAGCTACACTAGCCTGATCATTTTTTTTCCCTCATTATATAAAACCTAATTAGTTAAAGGGCAATTCAAATGAAACTTTTATTTGGGGGATTTAGAAGTATTAAAGCAAAGGAAAAAAAAAAACCCAAACAAACACTGCAGCTCTCTGGATAGCATGAACATGATTATTAATAACCCTTGGGTGGGGAAATGATTAACCTCGTTATTTTCCTCACGATCCAGGTTTCTACAGTAAATGGGTACTGAACAAAAATATTTGGATGCTGTCTGGAAAACAACTTTTACAAGGTCTCCAACTGGCATCAAATATTTTTAAATAAGAAAATATATCTGGGCTTTCTCGCCGGGCTGATGGATCCCTGCGGGTAGCACTTCCCTTGTTTAACGGTCCTGTCAATTAAATCATATTAGAGATGAAGTTTTAACTCCAGGATGAAGGTAATGCTCATTATAAGAGAAAACAGGAAAATGGAATATTTCCCTGAAGTGAACCATTATTTCTAATTGAAAGAGGTAGAGAGGAGGGGACAGCCAAACACCTCCATCAATATTCTAAGCTTTATATACCATGATCTCAATCACTTAAAAGTAATTTAAAGAAATAATGTATACTTGGGTTCACAGAATGTTTACATTTCTCTTTTGTTGTTATTCTAAGACATATTTTTTATTTGTTAAAAAATGCCAAGTTATTTGAAATGGCGTTTCCTGATGTGATCTTTCATGTCAGTGGCTGGCCTACCTTTAATCTCTGACTCACCTGTCATTTCCTTTCTTAAGTGATAATCACCCACACAAAGCTATTTGTACATTAGGCCAGTTCTTATTCTAATTATGGTCTTTATAATATACTGTTTAACATAATTAGTGAAATCACTTGTTTTTCAGGACTAAAGATCAGATAATATATGCTAGAAGGTATTCATTAGTTTATCACTCTAGCAAAAACATCCACACCAAACCAACTATTAATTTGCATCATCAGCATCAACAAATGTTCACTTGGATAAAATCGTGAATGTTTACTTCTAAATGTGTGATACATTTTATATATAAAAAAATGAAACCTGAATGAATTACTGCCACATTAGGTAAAGTAAAAACAGAGATCACAAGGCTCAAATGACTATAGATCTATTTTGGGATTCATTAATTGCTGACAATATCACCAGGATTTTTTCAGCCATGGTCAAAGCACATCAAAATGACCAAGTTTTTAAATCAAGAACCTTAGAAATGGTTGGGAAAACTATTTCCTAAAAAAATAGACAACAGCAGGTACAAATGACCTTAATGGGAAATTTGTTTCAAAAACATTTTTAGCAGATGATCGGAAAGGATGACCACTCTGTCCATGCATTTGAACCTTAATACCGGTATTGACAGTTTGGGACTATCCTGAAATCTATTAGGGCTCCAAAATCTTTAGTCATTGTGTATATAGCATATGTATGTGAACTTATGGTTACACACATCAATAATTTACATCAATAGTATGTATCATTCACTTGGGATATGCTTTGATGATGGGAGTCTCACAGGTGTTACATCTGTTGCAATGGCATTGTCTATATACTGGGTGGAATTATGCTCATTGATTCCTTCTTTGGGATAAAGGGAAAAGCCCTGGCAAACACCTAAACTTAGTTAAAAATTCCAAGCAACTCCCTCTTCTCTGGCTTATACCTTGGAAACCCGTTCCTGCACCCTCTAGAGTAGGCATTGAGTCATCTATGCGTGAATTCTTGCCCCTTGGAGCAAAGGAAAGGAATCCACTAGTGCACCCAATGAGCACCTTATGAGCCCACAAAGAAGGAAGGTGTGAATGCCATTTAAGCAGCCCAGAAGATCCTATCCTGTTTGATGGTTTTTATTGTCAATCTCTTGACTTAAAAGCCAGCAATCAGCAAGCTAGTTGTGTGTGATGTTGGGTGACTCCTGGCAGCTTTTACACCCTGTTTGCTGGAGAAATCTGGGGGAACACCCACTATACTCCAAGCAGAGCAGCCAGGGGCCTAAGGAAGGCAGGTTACAAACTATTGTTTTATTTGGTAGCTGGTTTTGGTTAGGTATTAAGGAGTTAAATTTTCCTAGGTTCCTGATAATAAAGGTGGATACATTTTCCGAAGGCAAAACAAAGCATCCTTTCAGGTCACCACTGATTTCGAAATAAAACAAAGCAAAACAAAACTGGAATTTCCTGACTCAGTGTGTAAAAGGTCAACATCTGCTGATGCTCAGAGATGGGGCACGTGGTGGAGGCGGCCGGATGAGATGTCGAGTGAGCAATACAGTCAGAGATTCCATGCAACACACGACTGACACTCCAAACAGAAACACACCCCAGCGCCAAAGAACTACTTTCCATGCATCCATTTCTGAAAATCTGACAGGTCAGACTGCCACAGCAGCCTCAATAATCCGTCTCAGCTGTCTTCCACTTGGTCCCCTTTTGTTCGAAGATGCATATGTAAATGAAATTGTCAAGGCCTGAAAGGAGCCCACTGTGTGTGTCTGTGTGTGTGTGTGTGTATCCATATATATATATGGATATGGATGTGGATACATATATATATATATATATACACGTACACACAATTAGGCAAATGCCAGGGGAGATACTAAAGCAGAACTCGGAGACTATGAGAGCTGAAAGTTTCACCTGCACGTCTGTAGCATTAATGCCATTTCAACAAGATCATAAAGGCCAGGCTGTAGCATTAGGCTGGTATCTAAAAGGATGTGAACACTACCCCTATGTACAAAGCCGCTGATTTTCATGGCATTTCACATGTCTAGTGCTTAACAGATCTGTGTCCAGACCTATTCACAAGCTTAAGTAAACTGGCTCGATTTACAAGTTGGAAGACCTGACGGTGCGTTTATAAGAAGTGGGAAGTTGTTTTATCCAAATTATCAGAGTTTTGCGTTCAAGATGGATGTCGGGTATTCAATGGCTGCTATTTACACTGCAATCACCCTGGGTGGCCGGGCACCCATGATGAAGTCTGTGAGGGGTGAGACCACAGTGAAAATTCTTCTCTTCACCTACAGTGCATAATCTCTGCCTCCTCAGCACTCTGTTTTGAATGGGTTATTCAGCAGTCGTGCAAAGGATTTAGCCATCAGAGAGAAAGGGTGTGAAATATAAAAACATGTGAGATCCTGCTCTGCAAAGCTGTGGGGCATTCCTTAATGAGCATTTCAGGCTTGGTGTGGGGAGTCATTGTTTTATATGTGAACAAGGAGCTACAGTCTGATTCTCCCACCATAGCTGGGAGAATGCTCTTTGCAATGGTACTGGAGAAATGTTTCATAGAGGTTTGAAGAGGGATTTCTCTTTTAAACTGCCTCTATTTCTACTAAAAGATTTCTTGCAGAAATTTCAACTAGCCGGATTCCTAAATTCTGCATCTATTTTTTATACCCTGTTCTCTATCAAACTTAAACCTAAGTAGTCAGGAAAAGATGGATCACTGTATTTTTGGAGGGAGAAACGGACATACTGATTTTTCTCCCCTTCATTCCTCCAGAAAGACTAATGATCACCAACCTGCCTCTTTCAGGCCTTCACAAAGACTGGAGTATAATAAATTACTAAAATTCCCTCCCTCTGGTTTCATGGCATTTTCACTGGGTTCTAATGAATATGCCTAAAGCGTTCATTGGTATTCATTCTCTGCTTTTAAAAATTATGGGAGAGATCCATATCCAGTCCTAAGGAGAAAGTTCAATTTGTTGTCTGTTACTAAGTATGGGTAAATAGGACTATTTATATTTTTGCTAAATGAGCTAGGGTTACCTAAGTAATTACACCTCCGTAAAGGTAGCCTTCCTTCATTGGTCAAAAGCAGTCAGGAGAGCCATGGTACTGCCATATCCACGGGGAAGTGATGCTTTGATAACTATTTTATCTGTGCTCTTACCCTGTCTGTGCAGAGAACACACACAACAGTTCAATTCACAAAGAAAATACCCTCTTACATCAGAAATGGACACTGGGAAAATAGATCTTAGGAGCTCAACAAGGAAACAAAGCTAGCCTAGACTTGGTTTTGTAACTTTTTTTTTTTTTTTTTTTTACTTACTACCGATACTGGAAATACTGGGGATACCTGGAGAGAAAGAAAACAATAAAGAAAAACTGTTAGACAGTTATTTAATACATGCCATCTTTAACTTAATATAAACATCTCAGAAACTTAACACTTAATAGCATTCAGATAATTAGGAAATACGCACAGAAAAAGCAAGATATCTATTCATCCATCAAAACCATTTTGCTTTCATTCTGGAACTCCCAAACTTAGGAGGGCTGGAAAATTAATGCTCAACTTCAACAGCTGGTTCAAGACAGCTTCATGATATCAAACATTTTGTGCCTGCCTGTAAGGTTAATGAACATTTGTACGAGGTTCAAAACAGATTTTAAACTAGGCTTATGTTCTGGGCATAGAATGCCAAATATACACTATGTGGACCTGTACAAATATACCCATGTATGCACCAGATCTCTTTAGATGTGTTATGAGATGCATATGTTAGCTGTTGAAAGTCACTTGGCTCTTTATTTGATTAATTTCACAGAGCCATCATTTTTAGTCCTCTTTTACTTGTCAGATACGTGGACTAAACTCTGTAATAGAAACTCAATTGAGCAGAATAATTCAAGAATACATTAGGTTATTCATATTGATCATGGACTTCATCCATTCTCCCAGCTTCCACTTCAATTTACAGGTTGTGCGAAGGTGGTGGGACCATTTTGGAATGCAATGGACTTGGTACAAACGTGGACAGAAATTTAGTCTGTCCCCTGAAAACTCCTAGCCAAGAGCAGGGGCACAGGAGGCAGGCTGTCTGGGTTTGAAGCTTTGCTCTTACACTCACTGACCGTGTGACCTTGGGCAAGTTGCTTATGCTTGGTTTTCTACCTCTTAGGGCTATTGCAAGGATACACAGATGGATGTGTGTAAAGTACTCAAGGTGTTGCTTGGCGGGTAGTGGGTACTCTACCCGTCTTTGCTATGGATTACTGTTACTGATACAGTCAGTTCACCAAGCAAATAACACTACGATATATATTGCTGATGAAGAGTCAGAGATTTACATCTTCTCTGATAAATTTGGGTCCTGTTGCGGATGGGAGCTGGGGATGGGACTCAGACAGAAGCGAGTGAGAGTCCTGCTTGGCTATGGACCAGGTAGGTGATTTCAGGCAAGTTCCCAGCCTCTCTAGGCCTGTTTCCTCACCTGAAAGGGGTTAATAATATCCACTGCATAGGGCTGCTGTGAGGATTGAATGAAATAATCCATAAAAATGTCTGACACATGGTACATAGCCAATAAGTGATAGCTGTTAATGAGTTGTGCAAGCTTGTTCTCCACATCACCGAAGTGTACCCCTAACAGGTGGTAAACGTAGGAATCATTAAACTTCTATTTTCGTATTTATCTTCGAACAACTGCCCTCTGCTTGTTTTAACATTTAACATATAACATAACAGGTTTAATCATTGTACCTTACTCAGAGATTTCGAGCCCTGTAGTCTTTAAACCCAAGAGCTAGTTTCCTATTTCTTAATGGGGAGGGGAGTAGGAGGAATTAAAGCTTACCATGATTTTTTAAAAAAACCTTAAGGAATGAAATTTTTATCTCTCTTAAGTACATTCAGAATCTCTTGATTTTAAATGCATAGAGTTTAGGGTGCTTCAGCTTAATCACTGATCACTCTTCCACCCAAACTGGAAATCTGGATTTCCATTTCTGTGTTTTAACTCTGTTCTCTGAACTGAATTTTGAGCCGAATGCAATCTCTTCAAAGGGCTGCTGAATTCCTGACCCGACACTTCAGCCAACTCTCTTTGCTGCAGTGTGACAGTGACTTGGTACTGAATCTTTGCTTTTTTTTTTCTTTGTAAATCCCCTGTTGAGTGAGGTGTGATGGCAGCATCTTAATTTTAGAATCAATTGCAGAAGCTCCAAATTTCCCCGTGATTGAAAATCCGGCTCCATTGGAACGGCTTGCCTTTTGTAATCCGTCAAAGACAATGGGAGTTGGGGTGGCAGGAAGAGACCTTCCGGGTGTTTTCAAACTTACACGGAGTTAGAGGGCCATGCATAATGCAAGGCGAAGTTCTCAGGCTGTTTGGCCAGATGCAGTGGAGAGCAAACCTGCAAGACTGTTTGATGCAGTACTTGCTGTGGCTGAATACTCTAGAAAGGTGCAGAAATGTTTCCATTCCTTTGGGGATGCCAGTGCAGGGAGAAATGTTCACTGCAGCTATACAGAGCTCGCCAAGCGAGGCTATTATGAGATCCTATTTTCCTCCTGAAGATGTTTTCTATTACCTAGCATTTTGGATGCTTAAAATTCAGCCTCTTCCTCATTTTGTGGCTTACAATTTTTTGAGGTGCTGCCATGTGAGTCACTTTCTGTTCCATTGCTGTAAAATGGGAATTGCTTGGAAAAGATTTTTAAACTTCTCATTGGGATAAAGATTTTTGAAGTAGCAAATAACTGGACACCAGGGGATGCCCATTAGTATGTTTTCAAATGTTACGTTTTTTTCCCCCAAATGGTCCTTATTGTAATGTCCAAACACCTTGCTTTTCGTTCCCTATACACAACTAAAGAATTTAATAAACCCATTACATCCATTAAAAAGGCTACAAGCAAGCTGTGAGGAGTCTTCCAGATGCCTAAGGAATAAGACAAGAAGGCTACAATTCATTTCATGAAAGGTGGGTTTCTTTGGGCTCTCAAAAGGATGAATCAATGAATACAATTTCATCTTACAACAGTGACAGTGCCTATAAACTATGGGAATGAGAGTCAGATTATGCACAGGAAAGCTGTCTAGACACACGTTGGCAAGTGACAAGTGTTATGTAAAGAATATTTTTACATTTAAAAATTGAGCTTGGACGGGCGCCTGGGTGGCTCCGTTGTTAAGCATCTGCCTTCAGCTCAGGTCATGATCCCAGGGTCCTGGGATTGAGTCCCACATCGGGCTCCCTGCTCTGCGGGAAGCCTGCTTCTCCCTCTCCCACTCGCCCTGCTTGTGCTCCCTCTCTCGCTGTGTCTCTCTCTGTCAAATAAATAAATAAAAATATTTAAAAAAAAATTGAGCTTGGAAGTTATCTCTTCCCTTCCTCTTCATCTCCCTGATGTGAATTAGCCACTCCCTGTGATTGCGCGCCTCCTTGTGCAGGCCTCCCTGAGAAATTTATCAACTTATATTTGTAATTGTTTGTGTGTTTGCCTGAGAGGTCTGAGAGGCAACCACCATGTCTCATTCCTTTCTGTATTTCTAGTATCTGCCCGGGACAATGCCTGATACAGAAGAGCTGCTCAATGTGTATTTGAGCAAAACTTTATCACTTGTTACCAAGAATTTTCTATCCTAATGAAAATACTCTTGGTCATAGTATGATCTTGTCCCATATAAAATGTTTCACTGAAATATTTCTCAGCATTCAGTATGAATGGATATTTTTGTTCTCTCTGAACATTTCCTCCATTCCAATAGCCAGAGTTATATGATGTACAGATTCCTCTCACAACTTTGCCTTCCAGAAAGTGCAGAGGCTCAAAACGCAACCTGGTGCTCAACTGGGTAAACTCATTTCATATTTAGCTTATTTCCCTTCTATTCCTTCTCTCACACCTTCCTTTTAAACTCTTATTTGGATACTCTTGTTTGTATTTGTCTTTTTCCCTAAGCCAACCTGGAGCAATACAGATGTTGTGGTGTCTAAAGCATATTCAAATATGGGAGGTCTCTTTGAGAAAAAGAATATTAATTTTAAAATATAAAATTAAATAGAAATTGATTTTTTTAAAGTTTAGAAGGATTCTTGTGAGGAATCCTGATATTTAGGCTTCTTAGGTTAGACCCATCTCTGAAACAACCTCAAAAATACTTGTGAAAGATAATAGATGATAGGTAGATAGAAAGGAAGCAAGATACCAGGTAAGCTAATTCAGAAAGAGTAATTTAAAATGAAGAGCAGAAAGGGAGTTAAACAATAATCTCATTGAGCCTTTCACTTTACAAAAGAGGAAACTGAAGGCACAAACAGAAGCAAGAGCCTTGTCCAAGTCAACACCTTTATATTCAACACTGGAACAGGTAATTCCTAATTCTTGTCTGCTGAGACATTGCTAACCTTGCACTGAGGAAATGAAGCCCAGGTATGCATGAGCTTCACCAGAAGGTTCTGCAGTACATGCCATATGAGTTTAATACTACTGCTTCTTCTAGAAGAGAAATGCTACTTCAGTCAGAGACACACATACATGTTGAATAAGCCAAAGGGCTTTGTATGCTAAAAGAATGAGCAGGTGCTCAGCTTATAGGCACTTACGGTTAGTCCCTCCTCCACTGGCCCTCCCCACTCCTATATTTATTTTAATGTTTGTTTTAAAGGAATTCTACTACAATTGGGGGATGAGAACTTAGTAGAATTATATAATTGTTTTCTCCTCCTCCTCCTTCTTGGGATTTTACTAACCATCCCACCAAATAAATGGCTAAAGGGGGCATAGTTAGGCAACATGATGGAGATCTCAAAAATAAACATCCTAATCTTCTGAAGCAGATTGATGTAGTGCTAAAAGCCATAACTTCTTCTGAGAATCAATGCAAAGTCAGCAGCTTTTCATGGAGGAAATCAGAAGGGACACAGATTTGGCATGCCTCAGATTGAGAGGAAATACTGCCCCTGTTGTGATAGATGGCTTGAAAAAAGCCCATCAAGTAGATGACTAGATCTTCAGAAGAAGCTAGGCTGCAGCCATCAGGAGCTATAACTCCAAAAAACCCAGTCAAAGAAGAGGTGGGTGATGAGGAAGAAAACATTCTGCAGCCTCATTTGTATTCTGGAGGAATGATTTCCAATGTCCTTCCAGCCCCAGTCCCTGGTCCCACTGTGTTGATAGGAGGCACAGTGAGTTGTCTACTAGGAACTTGAAAGTGGAGGAAATAAAGTTGCCTTCACAGAATTGTACTGTGAAACCATCATATAGATGATCCAATCAAAGACAGCTAAAGTCATCTTACAGCAACAGAAGGGGCCTAGGACCTGAGTGTATGTAACAGACTTGACAGA